GGGGGGGGGGAGGGAGGGCTGGAATGCATTAAGTGGAAAGGATGGTCACCTTTGTTCAGTGGTTGCTTTTGGTCAAGAGCTTTAGAAGAGCTAAGGGTAAACGCCGGGTTATAGAATCTGATTGTCTCTATTATTCCGAACAAACTAAAATTGAACGTCGATTTGTCCCCAGGCAAAAATGGTGGTGGAGAAGGGGTGGGGAGGACTAGTTCAGGTATGATTAGTTTGGTTTTGTGACTATTGGGAGTATATTCTCCTAACTTTGTAAGATTTTGCAATTCTGTCAGGCATCTGGATATTCATTTCTCATCTTGATTTTGAGTTGAATGGAGGTGGAGGGGGGGGGGGGGGGGGGGGGGGGGGTGAGGGGTGAGGGGTATACAATTGTGGTTTTAATGTGTTAAATGTAAGGCTAGGGAAGGAGATGCAGTCATGGAAGTTGTCGCCCTACCTTCAGCTACTCACAATTATTCTAACAAAAAACCTTGCCTTTTCGGTTTAAGGTAGTCGAGTGGGTCGTCAGCCAAATGCAATAAAGTATTACTGCGTTCGAGAGATTTCCCAACGTGAACACAATAACGCCTTACCCTCCCCTACCGGTGATCTCAATGACTCGGCCAATCATCATCATCATCATCAAGTGGGAAATCAGATCAACAACACGCCAAGAAATGCCATGAAACGAGGTGCAAATAACGTGAACGGCTCTACTTCCACCTTCCAACTGCCCGGAGAGTTTATGAATAGCAGAGATGCCGTCGAGAATCGGAGTCGAGCCTCAACTTTGAGTGCATCCTCTGGCATCTCCTCGTCCAGTACGGCTTTTCTCAATCCTCTAGAAACTTCGCAGTCCTCGCCTATCGTTTCTTCTTCGGCCACCTTGCATAAGAGATTGAAAATGGAAGATGTTCCGGACTTTATTGCTGGCACAGACATGGTCGACAGCAGTTTCTGCCAACAATTGGCCTCTGTTACGGCCGCGAACTCCCTTGCAAACCATTTTCTCTTGTAAGCTTAAAGTGTGCAAGTTATTCTAACAGTGAAGCTACTTTGACATTGCCACCAAAATGGCCCTCTAAGAGGCTAAAAGGATGTTGCAGGCTTTCCCAGGTTCAGAAGACTATGAGTTGAGGCGGACGCAATCGAAGGGGTGGAGGGAAAGTAATGGAAGAGTTGGAAGGTGGAGAACTGGCCTACTCTTTTCAGCAACTTATATGAAAACGATATGATAAAATTGATCTGAACACTGTTAGCCTATGGGATATATGGTTCAGATGTCATTGCATGGGGTGCTGCCTAGTTTATGTACCAAAATGTGATAATTAGGTGTAGCAGATCTCTGGGCCACGTCGCGCATGTCCTTCACTTTTTCCTTGAAAGTTACCTCCTGCGTAGGCCCTTTATGAACAGAGGTTTATTTATTTATTTATATCAAATGGCAGGCGTTTTGATAGTTATCATTAGCCCTGGAGCTGACTTCAGGGCTTCACGGAGAGGAGAAGGGACATCAAAGTGACAAAAAGCCGGGATGGGAGTCAGAATAATGATTCAAAGAGGTAAAAGAGACAGACAGACACAAAGGCATAAAAAAGATAAGATAAGTACTGTGGAAGGGGACGAATATGACAAATAGTCAGGCCATAGAAATTCGAAGCCAGAAGTCAACTGCCAGTTAATAGACTTTTTTGCCGTATGAGTATACGTTGCCCAGGGTGCACCACGTGGAGGTAAGTCTATTTCCCACCCCTTATGAACAGAGGTTGCACTTGATTTCCTGCTAGTTCTAGTAGCTACCCGCTAGAGGGCGTCGTTCTTAGTACAATTTTGAGGAGAGCTCTAAGAACTGTGTTCTTACCACAGAGGAGATCTCCATCAATCCGGTAATTGTCCCAAATGCCAACCCTGATTTGAATAGCAAAATGACGTTCATATTGTTGATTTTGTGGTTTTCAACAGTTTTTTTTGACACGCATGTCAACTAACCCCGAGATCACGAGTTCCAGGATCACGGACTCAAATCCAGTTACTTGAATGATGGATTCCCCACGCTTTGATTCTGGTCAGCGAGAAAGTCTCATAAGAGCGGCTCCAGCGTAGCTTCTCATAACACGGGCTTAAGTGTTAATTATAGCCACTTCGAGGTAGTTGAGGTCTCTACGCTGACATGGTGTTTTTGCCCACAGAATAGCAATCTGCATTCAAGTTTTATTCGACAAACATTTTCTTTGCTTTTAAGATAGTGATAATCATATAGAAGCTGTCTGCGCATGCCCAACTATTCTACTTTGTAGGAATCCTCAGTTGGCCTCCCACGGCCAAACCCCTAGACCTGCGGAGATTTTGGACCAATTGGCCAAACATCCAACCATAGTGGCCGCGGCAGCGGCTGCTCGTATCCTCTTGGACAACGCCCCCACCACCAATGGTTCCTTGTTTGACTCCACGGATCATGAGCAGCAGAATGTGACCCTGCCGACAAGCTCCTGCGTCGCCTCCATTTCCCCCTCGTCTGCTGCTGCTGCTTCTTCATTTGGTGGTAGTAGGTTTCAACAGCCACAACAGCTGCAAAAATCGGACACACAGTCTGCTCCTCGCACAGTGCCGCCCCCTCCCCCTCCAATGCCAAAACTGACAGACAAGGTGGAGAGGCAACGAGTTCACGATGAAGCTATGCGACAGGGCTCTGAAGCCGCAATGTCTATGGAGGAGAATATACGGGTACGTCTGCGTAACGAAGTCAATATTCTCTGTTTTTTTTAGCCTTTCTTTTTCTTTCCTTCTTTCGCTCTGCTTGTAGACGAATGTCTTCGTAACTCTTGGAGAATTTACTCAGGGAATTGAACGGGCCACAGATTTCCTCAAAGCTGAACGCAGGGTAAATTTAGCACATAATTGATTGTTTTCTGGGGATTGATCTTTGTTGTGCTGGGTTTTTTTTTCGGTGCAGGATCTCCTGTTTTTTTTCATGTCTTATGTGCCTTATCTACCTAACCACCCCCCCCCACCCCCCACCCCCCACCCTCCCTTTCTTTTGCAGAGGTTAAAACAGATAAAACAAGATCCAAATCAGCCCAGGTTCACTGCGTCGGATTCAATTGAACGCGTCTGGTCGTATATGATGCAACAGTTCGTTCAACATACCCGAATGGTTGTCGACTTCTCCAAACTTATTGCTGGTAGGTTTATGAGAATGCCTTTTTTGGCAATTGTCTTCTCGTCAATTGTTTTTTTTTCCATTCAGCATGACCGATCTAATCGTTTTTTAGGGCTCTAACAACTAGCAAACCTGAAAGCATGACACCTAAATGTGAATTTATTAGATTTGATCGATAACACTTAGGGAGACTGTAGTTTATAATTAAGCCAAGCTTGAATCCAATTGGGTCATGTTTCGGACACAGGAGGCTTTTGGCTGCACTCATTTTGAGTCTAGACACCCAAATGACCGGGAAAAAGGTCTAGTCTATCACGCAAAAAATGTGGGAACTCGGTAAACGCGTATCCAAGGCGTTGACTATTACAAACACTCTGATCTACATTCGGACTGACGCCGTCACACTTCTAACTTGCCTTTTCGAGATCACAATTTGACGAGGCGATGCGGTAATTACAACCTCTCGCGGGCGCTACCATTACACACAGCCCACCTGTCCAAATGGTTTGATTAATGACTTAGCTTTAAAGCCAGACATGTCGTCTAGTGGTAGTTTGTTGTGACCTAAAAATACAATTTCTCTCGTCGACCTTCAGAATTGGAAGTTACTTAAATTCTATTTAAGTAGGCTAAACTAAAACGACTCAAAAGTTGACATAATCATTAAATCTTGGTCAGTTCATTAATTCAGAGAAAACTCGGTCTTGTTAAAATAGACCTATTGTTTAGGAAGCGCCTTTGTTAAACTGATTACCTCCATTTCTTACAAGATGCACACTTTCCTTGACATGGCTGCCATTTTTCGCTCCACCAATCAGCTCGAGGCAAACACGCACACACACAGGCCATAGCCGGCCTGCTAAATGTTAAATGTTTTCATTATCGTGTGCAAAATTAAAACAGCCTTTTTTTGCTTTAGGTTTTAATGGACTAGGAATCAACGATCGTCGACAGTTGATACGAGCAGCTATGTATCCAATCATGCTTATTGAGTTAAGTAGAGATTTCCAAAATAGTGGAAACGCCTCCTACAATTACTTCGACTTCATGTGGGTTTCTTATGTCTTACTGATTGCGCATTTCCCTAACTATTACGTGAACGCCTAGACAGGGGTGGAAAGGGATGTAACACAGTTAGTTGTAACTTAGGTGTGTGCGTATGAGCGTTTGGAAGCATTGTTCCTCTTTATCACTCTGCCTGCTTTTTGGCATTCTATTCTTAGTACTGTCGTTCCGCCGCTGGTAAAAGTACGTCTCTCACTCTCTCTCTCTCTCTCTCTGCTCGTGTACAGGAAATGACTAGTAGGGCAAAGTGCGCATGTGTGTAGCGGCTGGGGGCTAGATTGTGTCCCAGTTTTCGGACAAGAATCGGCACGTGATGTAGGGGTGGTGCGTGCGTGTGTGTGCGTCTAGAGCGGAATTGTGGATAGATAAAATTGAAAAGGGATTGAAATAGCGTCGTCACTGTTGTGAAATGAATTGACCAATTTATAATAAATGGCATTTTTATTTTATTTTATTACATTTTTTTGCTATCAATTCTATTGGTTTCTCCGAAGTATTTATATCAAAATGGCAGACGTTTTGCTAGTTATCATTAGCCCTTTAGGTGACTTCAGGCTTCACAGAGGGAGAGGAACATCAAAGTGAAAAAAGTCGAGAGAGGGGGGGGGGTACAGAAGAGTCCTTCAAAGATGCAAAAGAAACAGACAGACACAAGGGTAGAGAAAAGGTAAGATGAGTGCGGTGTAAGTGGTCGAAAATGACACACAGTGGGGTGATGGTAGTTTGAAGTCAGATGTTAACTGACAGTTAATAGACTTTTTTGCTGTATGAGTATACGTTGCCCAGGGTGCGCCACGTGGAGGTAAGTCTATCGCGCACTCGCATTTCTCCGAAGTTGAGTAAAGGAAAGAAATGGATGGAGTTTTTGTTATATAATGGTGTTATCTCCTAATATATTCAATATTTTAACTTAATTTTGGTCATCAAGGTGTTTGGAAATCAAAGTTATTCTTGCGTTAATCCATAATGAAATGTAAAAAGTAGAGTCAAGGTGAGAGACGGTGGATCTATTTTCTGAGAAAGAAGGACAGAGAGTAGAATGGAGGCTGCTCATGGGAAGTGCTCAGACAGAATTACTAGACGAGGAGGAGAGGTTAGTTAATTGTCTTTGTTCACTTAAAAAAGAATTCGAATTTCCACTTGTCGGCTGAGGTCAAAGTTGAGCATGGGTCGGCATATCTGTATACCTTTTTTATGCATTCAACAAATTTCACATATATATTGCTGCCAATGACTGATTTCTGGCTATCTACTATTATTTTCATTTATTATTTTCGGGAAATTTCGATTTGACGCGGCATTATGCACTATTCTTACCTCTGCATGCTTATGAAACTTAATACGCACTTTCCGAAAATTTCGCAGAGTCCAAGTTGTTTATTACTCAATTAACTGCTCTATTAATTCACTCGCATAGAATCCTTCTGTGCGTAGTAGTAGAGTAGTATTTAAATTTACTGCAATGTCGCAGATGAAGAGATTGAAGATGAAACTGGCAAAGTGGGTGTCACCTCTCAATCTTGTTTCCTTTTCCCATTTCAGCGGTCATCTCATTTTCTCTCTTCTAGCCTCCCTTTGTACCGCAATGCTGAATACAACAGTCATTGTTTTCCGTAATAATGCAAGACTCTTTTATTCTCAAGAAAAAACTCTCCAACAGGAGGAATAACAATGGTTGAGTTCCCTACAGTTCCCTTATACATGGCCTAATCTTTGAACGATTAGAGTCGAAAGAAGTCGAAAATTTCCAGTGCTAATGTGTGTGTGTGTGTGCTTCTTTGTCGTTAGATCGAACTGATTGGTTGGTGGTATTCATTTAAACACACATGTGTGCGTCTTCTGATAGCCTTTAGGCCGTTAATTGATAATGCCAGAATACAATTACAATGAATTTCCACTGTGTGCCTATTTAATTCGAAAATGCCTTTTGCTGCAGGGACCATGAGAAGGATGTCATAATCCAGCACTTCCCTCCTCTTTCCAAAATCATCTCCCACCTGGTTCAATCCGGGCGTGTTCTCCAACAGCTCAAATTGGACGATATTGAGTGCACCATCATTTGCATTCAAGAGCTTCTACGGCGTAAGTTCTCCATCTCAAACCACACTGACCATTTTCGCTCCTCTACCTACTCGTTGACTGCGTTTTTAGTCACCTGCTGTTGTTGTTGTTGTTGTTGTTATCTTGGAAACTCAGAACTGATACAATGCTCGTTTTAAGACATTTACGCACCCATCCCAATGCACACATGCGCGCCGCGTGTGCGTGTGTGTGTGTGCGTGGCTTTAAGAAAGTCACCCTGTTTTATGATAATGCCCCCATTTCTGACAATAACAACTCTGGGGTTTACATAGGATCTGTGTATGTCTTTTGATGGTGGGGGTGGTGGTGGGGTGTGTGTGTGTGTGTGTGTGTGTGTGTGTGAGCATTAGTAACTAATTGCTGTTGGTGGTGGTGATTTTTTTATGTGGGCTATTTGGGCGACAGTGTCACGTGCATTTCCTGATTTGTTTGACTTCTTTTTTGCTCTGCTCTGCTTTCTAGACAAGAACGAGCTGGAGGATCCGGCATCTTGTGAACACCTCTTTCTCCTCTCGATGCAGGCTCTTGTGTACCATGAACAATGCAGTGAGTCCCAGAACATTAGTTAAAGGCATTATTTTCACTTTCCAATTTCACGCAATTCTATGCAGTCGAAAATCTCATAATGAAAACACGTGTGTGAGGTTGATTAAGAAGTTAGGACTCATTAGATGCATGCCAAAATTTGTAGTGAGTATGATGTGGGTGAGAAATCACTCTAATTGAGCTCTAATCAACAAAATTTTCCCGTAATTTTAACTTTGAAGTAGTGCAACAGATTACTGCAACAGATTTGGCTTTGGGAGATTTCATTGGAAATCTCAATTTTCCTTTTTAAAGAATAAGATGATATATCCGCTCTTCCCAAATGAGAAAATCAATAATTGATTTGTGGACCACAGTTGCAGTGGCCAAAGGTGAGGGAAATTGAAGTTTTGGAGTCGGGGGTGGGCGGAAGTGGAGGCGAGGAGGGGGGGGGACAGAAGAGTGATTCAAAGATGTAAAAGAGACAGACAGACTGACACAAAGGCAGGGAAAAGGTAGGATATGTATGGTGGAAGTGATCGAATAAGACATACAGTAGGGTCATGGTAGTTTGAAGTCAGAAGTCGACTGCCGGTTAATAGACACTTTTTTGCCGTATGAGAATACGTTGCCCAGGGTGCACCACGTGGAGGTAAGTCTAACTGAATCATTTAGTGCATATATATACACAAAGTAGATTTTTTTCATCGGTTGTATGGAGTTTTAGCACTTGTCATCTGAAATTTTGGAAAAAAACACTGCCATCGTGAAACGTTTTAACATCGATACACTTCCACCCCACTAAATGCACAGCAATAGCTCCCAAGCACACGTAGAAAAGCGTTTTCCAAAACTCGTCTCGGATATCGTTCTTCAGTCCCCCCCCCCCCAATCCTCGGTATTGCTTCTGTGTTATCCAGGCTTAACCAGTACCATTCCACTTATTGTGAAGGTTCTTTGATGCCACTTTCGTGACATGCACGGCGTGTTGCGAGCGAGGGTTCGCATTTTTTACTGCATTTTCGTAACCCTGTTTTTTCACAAATCAGTTCACTTTCTTCTGATAGTGGATAGAGGTTTATTCACTTTGTTTTGAGTGAGTAGTTGTGTTGACATAAGCTGTGATTTTCAGCCTGTCTGCATTGTTATGTCTTCCGCATCCACTTGGGGGCATTTTCGAGCGCTCAATTTGAGGGGGGGGGGAGTCATTTCAAATCCATCCCTCTACTCTATTAGCCAGACGCGACCAGTGCGAGTGAGCATTCGACTAACTAGGTGGGCACCGGTGGGAATCGAACCTATCATCTCCACTATCGCAGTCCTTTCATGTGGCATTAACTCCTGTTGTGGAATACATTTTGCCTAGATGTACACACGACACAATTCACGAATATTCCTCGAAATTGATTACCATCAATAACAAGGTTATATGAGTGCCCTTTTCAAAACGCATTTGTTTTCACTTAAGATAATGGTTAATAAGGGGGGTATTTGCGTGCTTTTGATGTTTTTAAGCCTATCTGTTATACTTTCGCATTTACAGAGTCGAAGTCGGACGCAGCGAATGAGCGTTTGACAACGTTCACCCAACTTCTGCCAATGCTAAATCAGCTTAACATGGAACATCACGAAGTGTTGGGTCAGATTCGGCTGAGTTATCCTCACCTCATCTTCCCTGAACTCTATTTGGAGATGTTCGCCATCGGTGCCGGCGAGCCACCAAACTTCTTTCAAGAGGATTCCAAGAAAAACAGAAATGACCTGTGAATTATGATGTCAATGATACCTGCCCCCCCCCCCCCCCCTGCCAAACGATAATGCATCCCTTTCCACGTTGTTTCCGCTGCTCCTCCCCTCTTAATGGTATTTTCTTAAAGTGTCTCCCACCCCCCCCC